TTCTAGTGCTTGTAAAAAGTGGAAGAAAAACCTAAATAAAATTGGGAAATAATAAAATTATTAATTGAGAGAAAGAAAAGATAAGTTTTTAAATAACCTTAAAAGGAGATTAAATGTCAGACTTATAAGACTTCGAAATGCTTAAATATGAGCAGGAGTTTCAAGGTGTGATTAATTTCCCTTGATCAAATGAATCATTGTGTCGAATTAAACCTTTGGTAGCCCGAAATGGTCTGTTATCTATCTAGATACAGGAAAATGATCGATCAAAAGCTAGCGATCCGGAGAAAAGAATCTTAAAAACCTGGATCTCAAGGACAAAGGCACTTTTCCCTGCCTCCCCTTGTGAAGTTAACTGTGCAGACTTTTCCCAGTTTCCGACTGTGAAGTCGGAAACTGGGAAAAGTCTGAACAGTTAACTTGGACTGTTCTGGTTCTCAATGCTCCATCACCGAACTTCCCAACACCCATAGAAGCATCACAACTGACCACCCCAGGGTCATCTACTCTACAGTCCAGCTCCTACAGTGGACGAGACAAACTATAGATTATAAGACTTAGCATAAATAAATGGGTTTATTTGTCACTATAGCTATCTGTCTCACTTTCCTTCATCCCATATATGATAAATCCTGACATTTGGATATCCCAAATTCGGCAACCTCACAATGTGCAGGAGCAAGACATTGCTGATTTGATGTGAACATATATTTTAAATTAAATAAATTAAAAATTGCAGTCCAGCATTGTGACATGTCACAATAAGTAATTGCTTGTTAAGTTTGCCTTTCTTCCATAACAGAATTTTCTATTTTGACAATCTTTTAATATACAAGTGTTTTAATGGATTTAGCTCTCATAATTTTATTAATATTCATGCTCCATTGAAACAAACTAGCAATACATTCTGTTTTTATTCTGAATTTTAGATTGACTATTTCACATACATTTTTTTAAATATAATACTTTTATAAATATTATGGAAATTGAGAATTGTTTACATTTTGATTTTAGTAAATTCAAANAAATAAAGTTTTGTAAATTATTAATAAGTGTTACTTTATGTGCGGCCCGCCAAAAAATTTTAAAATTTAAATTGGCCCATTTATTAAAAAGGTTGCTCACCTCTGCAGTAGATAATCACTTAATTACGTTTTGTTAAAAATCCTGCTAATAGATGGCACTGCTTGTACTTTAGATTAAGTATAAATAGATGAAAAATCTTGGTTATAACCGAGGAGGTTGGTGGTCCGGTCCGCCCTAACGCTTGCGTTGAAGCTTGCAGTCTGGGCTCAAAGCACCAGTTTCCTTTTTTTTTTCCCCTCAAGCGCTCCACCATCATGCTTGCCTTGAAGCGTGCAGCTGGGTTTCAACCCACGTGTCGCCTTTTTCTTCTTTTTTTCTCTCAAACTCTCCTCCATTAGGCTTGCATTGCAGCAATGCAGTCCTGGTTTCGCGCCCCCAGTCTCCTTTTGTTTTTTTTCCTCTTTAAAATTTCATTTATCTCGGCAGTTACGTCCACACACAGCTAAGTTACGTAATGTCGTAGATCGCATTTTAAAATAACTATTGGGTTTCTGTAAATCAATTGATTTATATCCTCATCCGTAGTGTTCGTTTTAACGTAGCGCCATCTATTGGCAGGAAATTTAACGAACCTATAAAAATAAATATAATTTTCATAAAAATAATATAACTTTAAAATATATATATTATATTCACTTAATAACGTTTTGTTAAATCATTTTATTAAATTAAAAACATAAATCCGATATTTAAACAAAATATAAATTTTTATTTTGATTTTACAATTAATGCAGGTGGCGCAAGGTGATTTTACTTCATAATTAAAGATGCGGGACACAAAGAGCCCTTTGTTGCCGAGTGGTCTTCGTACCCGGAACACTGGGAACTCGGTCGTAGGTTCGTGCCGTGATAGGACAGGCTGGCTGCTTGGAGTTTTCCGATGTTCAAGCACCCGGAGCTCAACTGGGTCTCTGTCAAATTGATTAGTTTGGTGTCGTTTGAGGCCGTCGAGAGAGAGGCAGCGGATGGTGACGACCTTCCCCAGTGCGTGTGGCGTGAGACTCTCCCAGATGCGGCAGAGTTCTGAGTCCATTCTACTTGGTCAAGGTTGTGAGGGATCAGCTGGCCCTAGGCCTTGTTAAGGAAGGCAGAGGGAGTGACGAGTCCTCTTGGAGTTTGTCTATTTTCGCAAGGACTGCCTCTCCGTCCGCACTCGTGACCACGTTGCCATCCTTTCTGAAGTCAGAACGAGGAAGATTCGGAGGAGAGCGCCGCTGAAGTCGAGGAACCGCGGTTTTGCTGCTGTGGGAGGCTGCGGTTTCCTTGGCCTAGGCGGTGATCCTCGTCGATTTTCCCCAACTCGTCCTTTGCACCAGTATGCGACATTCAGACTGGATTCGACACGTTTACTTGGACTTGGCCTTCTCTTATTCGGATGTTCTCACCGACTTGTCTCCCAAACATGACACTCGATCGACGACAATGGATTTGACTTTTGATTGTGACCACCTGGAGGCGACATTCGGCCGATCTTTCATCCCAAATAGCTGTTATGAGGATTGAGGTTCCTATTAGATTAGGCTAGGTTAGGTCCTTCGCTCTTCTCATAACACTGTTCGGGAAGAAAGACTGTGTGATAGATAATAATGTTGACCTTAGATAAAAAATGAATGAACTTCTCGTTTTCTCATTGTCTTTGTTTTCTGTGTGGTAAAGTTGGGGAGGGAGAAGAATCTCCCTCCCCAACTTTACCACGTAGAGGACGAAGTGGCCATTTATCGCACAAGTGAATATTTTCCGAAATCTCTGATGGTAAGAACTCTTCTTTCGTTTCATTTTTAACACGTCTTATTCTCGTATCGTAATTTACTGTTTTTCTGTTTATAGATACACCGAAGATGTTCTTTGATTACATACACACGCACTGACACACCATCACCTGTACACAAAGATATATACACCGTTTACCCTTTACTCGAATTCTCGCACTCATGCATTTGCACATCAAGCGCCTCGTTCTGTGTAATTCGACACAATGAAACAACTCGAACACTCGCTTCCCATAAATCCAACCCCTGGGTCCTTGTCCCGGGAAGTGGAAACGCCAATTTTAAAGATTAAAACGTTTTTAAATTAGTGGCCGAAGGGCCTCTGGTAATCACACCTTGCATGAATTAAATGGAATTTCACATATTAGCATCAATAATCGTTTAGTGATGAATTTTTGTTAAGACCAAATTATGTTATCAAAGCTATAATAGTCATAAATAACTTGAAACCAATAGAAGGGCAGTGAAAAAATTAATTAGCCAAATTATTAAAAAAAAAAAATTGATATCCAAAGTAAAACATTCGAAATGTAAAAATGGACTATGTATATTCATTCCGTCCTTATCCCGAACAGTTTTTAGAAATCTATCTTTTCCGAATATTCAGCTCAGTCAGTTCTATCACACGGTGTTGTAGTCACCTAAGAGAAGGCCCTCTATTCCATATATAAGGAGATAGCCAGATATAGTAAGCACAGAATTCTAAGGAGTGAGGAAATTGTAGAGATTTAGAAGAACGTTACAATTTCCTCACTGCTTAGAAATGAAAAAGACGCCATCGAGAGAAAATAGTGCCTTGGCCGAAACAACTAAAACGCCTTCGATGGGCAAATGCAACGCTTCTTCCATTTCCCACAATTATTAACTCCTTATCACCTGTTAGAAGGATTTTAACTTCAATATTGCAATTGGTAACTTGACAAAGATCAAAATGGGTTTTTCATTGCAAATATTTTCACAAACAAACTATAACTACCAGCAATTATTTACACTGTAGTGACATGGTCACAATGCCGTGCTGAAATTTGTAATCATATTTTTAAAAACTGTATCAGCCTTTGGGCAAAACAAATTTGATCGTTCTAACATTTATAATTGTAATTATTTTAAATTAATGTTTTGTTTAAAATCAAATCAAAACTCTACTCGGTTAATGTTTTTGATGAGAATTTAATCAAGAAAATATTTCACATATTAAATAAAATTGACAAGTAATGATTGCATTTTCAATAAATTCCGGTTTTCATTCATACAGCAAACAAGATATATTTTCAACTCAATGAAAAAGATGGGACAAAATTTTTTTTTATCAATAAGTTAAAAGTGCATATTACCATTATTTTATATGAACATATTTATTTTTAATAGTAGTGCTGAAACAAATCTGTTTCAAAATGTATTGTCTTTTTTTTTCTTTTTAACATTGTTCTAAAATAACATTATAGATATAGATAAATCTCTAGTGTAACATCATTTAGATGGATATTAACAGCTTGAAGTATGTGATTAACAAATAGAAATATCTGAAGTATATAAACTTCTTTTGACGGTGAGAGAAATTTAATAAAAATACTGCTGTCACATAATGTAAATTTTTCATTAATGAAGGGAAATTACATATTTTAAAAATATTAATTCAAACTTAAAAAATATTTACACTATATAGAAAATTTTTAAGCATAGTTTATTTCATTTTTTTTTTACTTTACTATATAATATACACTCATATTTTCAAATTATGACTCAAATATGATTATGTCATTGTTCTTGTAACCATTTCATAGAAATGGAACATAATAATCTGAATGGCAGCTGCGGATGGTGATTTAATCATTTACAAACAATTTGCTGGAGAACAAACAGAGATGAACAATAAACATGTAATAGTACATTTATATATCTATGAAATAATGTACCATTCATAAGCAGTATTCTATATGCTGCTTAAATTTAATGAGTTATTGATACATACTGTTATAGATATTCTGAGGAGGTCTAATAATTTCATTTTTATTTATTAATACCAAATAATTTGATAATCTAATATTTGATTCTAGTTGAAAATAAATTACAACAAAATTAAGATAATTAAATTCAATTATATATATATACTGTATATATTATTTNCACAGGTTGCAAATATATATATATATAAAATTATGCTCTCTGTTCTAAAAGCCTTCACCATTCCTAGAATCATATACAAAATTCTGTCATATGATGCAGAGGCACATTCAAGTTGAATCATGTCCACTATATATTCATTGTAAATGAGCAAGAACTACAAAATTCCATAAATACATTTTCTCCCATTTTTATAGTTCATTATCTAAACATACTTAGAACTTGCATCATGCTCAAGCAATCCAGTATGTACAACTTTTAGATAATCTCCACAATAACAATAGACATAAAATGACATATACAAACACATCCATACACATTGCATTAATTTAATCTTGTATCTTGTCCCTTACAGTTGCGTTACTGTACTTCGAATAATTCCAGTGATGATGATGATTGTTGAAAAACTTCCTGTTGTGAAAATGTTTATTCTGCCTATGTGAGTGATGCTAAAATTAGAAAATAAAAACAGATCCTTAGTTAATCCAATTATAACTATAAAAGTTTTAAAATTTATTATTATAAATCAAAACAAAGTAAACTTGAAGATATTTTTCTCACTTGGAATTATATTATGCATATAATTTCTAACAAATATCCATAGATGAGGATGAGAATTATTTATTGAGGTTGATATTATAAGAAGGGATACACATGCAGTCTTTCATAAGCAATATGTGTACAGCCTTACTACGTACGTAAGTCTGCACATACAGCTCCTGTGAACGTGGAGAACATAGCTCATTATTATCCAATAAACTCTGTATATCTCACAAAATTATCAGTAATGAAACAACAAATTCTTAGCTAATTTCTCTGCTTAAAACATTAGACTGTTTTATATTAATTTTGTATCAGAAGCAGTAATTTTGGAAGTAAATATTAAACTTTTTTACCCCTAAGTATTTCTTTAATTCTAAGATTCTGTCAGTTCTAACAAGGAAACCAATATAAAGCAAAATAGTAATGACATCATTTTTAGTTTCAATTTTATTAGAAAGTAATGCTGTTATGTGTAAAGAAAAATAAAACATTGTATAATCAAGCTAGAGCTATCATTTTAATTCTAATATAAGTATTTTTAGTCATGAAAATTCATTTCATACCAGTAAATAGAGCAAGGAATTTATAACTTATTGGATGACAATCATCATGCTATGTGCCTTAACTGTTAAAAGTCTCTGAAATGACATTATATTAATGAGGAATAACTACTGGAAATTTACAAACTTTTAAGATACTAATAATATCAATTATAGTATGGAACGAACATACAGAAAATGAATAGGAAAAAATTAAGAAAGACTTCATGCAAATGTCTTTGATGGTTTTGGAAAAAATCAAAATGGCAGATGAATGTATCTGTGGCAGAAAGGAATTTTGTGTTATCTAAAGATATTCTTGAGAATAAAGCTGTTTGATGAATTTGTAATTGCAATTTAAAACTAGCACATGACATATCCTATCATTCAATCCACATCCATTTTAAAATAATTTTTTAGACTCAGATAATTTGTTGTTTATCAGCACAAAATTATGGTAATTATTTCAATTATTTGGGTAATGTAAATAAAAAAACTTTTTAAATTTCAATAGTACTTTTCTCTCAATTCAAAGCTGTCATAGTTAATAAGGCCCCATCTTTTATTTATATTTAAGTTGTTGCTTTAGAAACGGTGCTCTTTTTTTCGCTTAACTTAATTATCTGTCATATTAATTTCAATGTAAACACAAAAGCAGTTGTACAGTTTAAATCCTATTAATCCTTCACTCAATTCAGTCAATAATGAAACCTCTATTAAGCAGAGCCTGGCTAGTTTGCCTATTCATTCTTTTGGTAATAGTCAATTCTAATATTAAAAAACTATCTATTGAAAGCTTATGTTAATTTAAAATGTTATTACTACTAATATGCATAATAGACATCCTTATTTAGCTTCTTGCCAAATTTTGTGCAATAATTGTATATAGTTTTTGTTCCTTGCTATTTAGATTAGATCTTGTCAATTTGCAGTTTTCATTGCTTTGTAAAATGAATTCTTTTAAGGAACAGAATGTTTTTTGGTAGGAAGAAAATTATTCTTTCAGAATTTGTTCCACAAGGACAAATTCTGAATCAAAATTTTTATATGGATGTTTTGAGGTGCCTATGTGAAAATATCACACGAAAAAGTACTATATCTTTGAAAAGCACAGAACTGGTTGTTGCATCATGACAATGCCCCCCGCTTAAATAGCTATCTCTATTCAACAGTTTATTGACAAAATAAAATGGCCTTGGTTCCCCACCCTCTTTATTCACCAGACTTGATATCACGTGACTTTTTTCTATTTTACAGCTGAAGAAAGTTCTAAAAGGATAGTGATTTGAGAACATTGATGACATTCAAACAAAATTACAGTATGTGCTTAACATCATGAGGAAAAAAACAAAAGTTCTAGGAATATTTAGAAAACTGAGAGAAGCATTGGATATATGTATAGCTGCAGAAGGAACTTATTTTAAAGGCAACAACTCTCAATAAATTAACATGCACATCAGACATTTCTTATTGAACCAGTCCCAGACTTTTTGACTGCACATCTTATACTGGAAATTGTAATAAAGTTAAGATCAGTTCATTATCATTAAAAAAATGTTTTTCAAATCACTTGGCTAATATTTTATTTCTGTCTTTACCCTTTTTTTAAAATAGTCATTCTACAGATACACAGGTTGCAAATATAACTTAATATTTAGAAATTCAATATTTAAGTTGGATAAATAATTATTTTCTTTTACACAATTACCAAAATTAAAATCTTGAATTGTCTTTCCCCCTCATCTGCAGTCAACTATTTTGAGTAACTTATTTTTTATTGTGCCTGTATAAATCATATTTTCTCTGAACTGAAATTTAAAGCTGTGACCAACATAGATGACTTGTAAATCATTAACTATGATCCACAAATATTAAGAGAGGATTTATTAAGATTAAAAAACATATTGCTGAAACTTAATTTTAAATTAATTTTGAAGCAACTTCAGTTATATGCTATTCTTTTGTTAGAATTCAGTCTACCAAATTTTATCATTCATGATGAAGTACTTAAGTATTCACAATCTATTACTTATTTAGGTATTATCTTTGATAATGATTTTAAAAATCATATAGAAAAGCTTCATCATAAATGCTTTAAACATTAGGTGTGGAATTTTTTGGTAATTCTGTCAATGTACCTGTCAATGTATTTCTTCAAAAATTGTTCCCAGATCTTCATTTTTTATACAAATTTTCAGAATATAATAGTTTAAGGATTCTCCATCTTCCAGCACCATCAAATTCTTTACTTAATAAACTAATAAAGGAAATACACACAGTACATTTTTTTTATTGAATACAATATCTCATTAAACAGCTACAACTTCTACTAATACCACTAAATTTTGATTGGGCTACCATTTGAAAAATTGCAGACCTATAAAGTCCTACTGTCGTCTGTCTGTCATTCCTTAATCTCGAGAATGAAGTTAAATGAATGTTGAGATCATATGAGCTGTTCACAGGCCAAATCGATTAACTCTATTTGTAAACCTTAATACAATTGTTATTATTTTTACATTTTTCACATAACTAATTTTATATAACATTACATTAAAGCTATGTTTTAATATAATAATATATAAAAATACATTCTACAATGCTTATTTAAATTTAAAGTTTAACAGGAATTTTAAAAAATAACTTATATTATAATAAGTTATTTTTTAAAATTTCTGTTAAACTTTATACTTATATCAATTTTTATACTTTTTGTTTTGTGGAGTTAATCANAACAAGAAAAATACAAGTACAAAATATTCAATTTAAATGAATACAGAAACTTATGATTTTTTTTAATTCATCTAAATTGAACTGTTCAATTTGTTATAAATGTAAACCATTTGTTACAAATATAAACCATTATTCTAGACCAGTCATTCCCAAAGTGAGTGCTACTGCCCCATTGGTGGTAAGTAAATCTAGGAGGCAAAAAGAAGCAAGTGGGTGGCAGGGGATACTAAAGGCAGGGTGCTGACCAAACAGTTATCGTAGGAAAGTATCGGGATCACAACTAACCTTTCCTTTACCTCTGTTAAAACGAGTAGGAAGAAATATTGCATTTAATAATTTCCAGATGTGGAGAACAATGTACAGTAAGGACACAAAGTATGAGATTCCTAGAAAAGTTTTTCTAAGAATATTTCCAAGTCTTTCTTACACAAGGGAAAGGGGACACTGGGTATAAGTTTATGGAATTGAGGACACAATGACTTGAAAAAGTTTGGGAATCAGTTCTAGACTCTTCTAAACTTAAATACCATTTTATATTTAATTATTATTTATCTTGACAATAAACAAGCATTTGATTCTACATCATCATCTCAGCTGTTAGATATTCAGCCTTCAATTATAATTTGGCTTAACAATTACTTTGTTTTAATGGCATTTAATATAAAACTTTGGGATTTTTCTTTTCATCCATTTCTCTGATGTATGGCATTTTTCAGGGCTATATCCTATCTAGTCTTTTATTTATCTGTTATACAGATTACATCATTGCTCAGGTGAATCTTTTTTTAACATTATTTTTATATGCCGACTATATGAAAGTGATTAATTCAAATCCTAGCCTTCTCTAAGATGACAAAATTATTAACAACTATTCTTGGGTCATTTAATCTGAAAATTAACCTAGATAAGACTGTGGTGATGTGTTTCATGCTAGTATGAAATAATATTCTCTTTCCATTCATCTCCAATCATCTGGTTATCTATGTCAATATGATTAACAATCTTGGTATCATATTTGAAAGATATCTTACCTTTTCTAATTACATTTGCAAAATTACTAAAAACCTAGCTATCAGATATGGTATACTCTGGTAACACTATGATTGCATTTCCACCATTCCAGTTATGACACTATTGCTGAAGAAATATGACACAGGACATTGTTGTGAAGGACAATCAGATGTGACTGCAGCAACTGAGGCCTTTTCTATTGGACTGCTAGATGCAATGTTTTTCCAGGAAGTGAATGTAGTTAACAAGCAGAGTTTATTGCCTGTCCTCATGGTATATCATTGGCCAAAAGAATGCCCTCAAAGTTATAAGAAACAGCAATATCATCATTAATGTCAGCTTTCCAGATTCTTGCAATAGTTTTCTGGGGCATGGTGACAATGCTTGCCACCACTTGCATTTTTGATTCAGATTCATGATCGTCTCTATGTTTTGAGTAGAATTATTTAGCAAAGAAACTCTTCTCTCATACCCATTTCTCCAGTATCTTCCTAGCAGCTTCAACACACTTTGTATCTGTTCCATTTGCATTATGTTCAAGCATGATCACTTCTTATGTTGGAAGTCTCTACTCATCTTGTGACTATACAGTACATTAGGGCAACACACACTTCTTGTAATTC